CCCAAAAAGCAACCAAACCCAAAACTGTCACAGTGTTGTGAATTCCTTTGTGCTAAAAGTCTTCACAAGTCTTCAAGAGCCCTAACAAAAATAAAATCCTCCATCAGTTTTGTTTGTTGAGATTTGGGGGCTGGGTGATTAGGCATTCCACAGGGATCCATTATTGGACCTCTTTTATTTATACTTTACACAATACTATCTCTGTCATATGCAATTTGTTATGCAGAAGACACCATTTCATATGCCACCGTCTCTTCCCTTGATCTGACCATTGCAAATCTGCAGTTGATAAATTTTAGAAATCTGCTATTGCACATAAATTTGTTTTAAACAGTGACAAAACTAAATGCGTGATATTAACAAGATTTACAAGGTCACCTAAAAGTATCCGGGCACTACCCTCCATATTCAAATGCTTCATAGTTATAACATCCAAATGGTAGACTGATATAAATCCTCGGGCTGGATGATTTTAAAAAGTCATTTTAAAAAAATCATCCAGAAATTTTTTTCTGTGTTCATTTTGAAAACATATCTCAGTCTACGTCAAAAAGCAAAACATTAAGGACGGTCAAGAGTGTACAAAACCAAGAGGTAATGATGCAACCCTCACCGTGAAGAAATGTTTGCCAATAAAAAGCCCACAAACAATAACAGAGCGCACAATTTCTTAAAAATCTGCACCCTGGCCGGAGTTTTTCAAAAGCTCAATTTTCAGTGATCCAAAATGCCATTTATGTGTGGACGTAGACTGGGAAGCTACATCCAAATTTTCAGTTTTAACGCACTGGTTTCAGTTCCACACAAAAGAAAAACTAACCAATCAAGTCATAAATAACAGTACGCGAATAACATGTTTCGTGACGTGGCATCTGGTGTAGTGTAACAGCTTTACTTCCTTGGTGGAAGAAGTTGTGTGATGGCAGCTGAGGCAGGGAAATAAATAGAATATATACACTATAAATACTTAAGTTCATAGCGTTTTCCAACAACTACATCACCTGACAAGAACTGCATTTAAATGTGAGCTATAAAACTACATCTCTTAGTGACATGCAGCCTATATTACAAAAACAACCTTTTGCTGCAGTTTGAAAACAAGCTAAAAAAAATTACATTCATGCTATAAAAAGTATCTTCAGCTACAAGAAAAACAGGAAGTCGTGCAGCAGATTGTGGGCTAGTCCTGACCTCAGACTAAGTACAGAAACAGACTCATGGCTATGCCATAAAAACATAAATAAAAACTACTGTTGGTACTATGTTTTGTAAATTCATGGTACACAGATAAACCTTCGGTATGACACATGAAAGATGACCTCAAAAGGTTCAACATGAATCCAAAACAGGTGAAAATAAGCCTCCATCTCTGCAGCAGGTTCCCCCCTGAGATTCGCATGTTAAGCTGGACTACCTCTGACCTCCTGCTCGCCTCACCTCCCTCTATTCTCCCACCTCTTCCCTCACACCGCTGCGTGGAAAAGAGGATCTGACTTCGCTGCTCCTCCAGGGAACGGCACAGTCTTCTTTCAACTCACTCTGTCTGAATAGGATATGACCCAAGGGTGTGGGAAGCAGGGAGGGAGCAGGTGAGGAAGAGCTGGGGATTTGAGGGGGATGAAGGTTTAACTGACAGCGCTGCTCGCTGCTCCAGCTGTACTGCCGTACTCACATGCATGAGGGAGTAGTAGGACTGCTTGCCGGTGTAAAACAGGAAGTGAAAGGGCCGCCCGTCTGCTCCCCACTGGACAGCTTTATGGAGAGGAAAGTGAATCAGCTCTGGAAACCCTCAGTTAAAAAAAAATAATAAAAAAAATGCATTCAGGAGCAGATTTACATACCTCTTTGCTTGGGAAAGATTTCATCAGGATGCTGGAAATAAAAACAGATTTGTTTCAGTAAAAACAACCCCAAATAAATAAAATCAAACAACTGGTGATGTGTAGAGCTTTAAAAGCCACCACTCCTGAGCTTTACTCAGGAACCATCTTTTGCTTCTGTTTACCCCTCAAACTCACTGATGTACCAGAGAAGTACCTGTGCTTGTAATGTTTATATTTACACTGGTGACCACAGTGAACGAGACAATGTACCAACCTACCTGAGGTCAAACTGAAAAGATCGAGGACATTTCATCATAAAAGCACCAGAACTGATGCGTCCCATCAAACTGCTGCTTGTGTTTCCACTGTAGACCCACCAACATTAGAGAAATTACTCAGCACTGAGCTTCTTTTGTTTGTGTTTTTTTACATCCCTTTCAATGTTAAAAAAAAAGTAAAAAAAAACAACAGATCTCTAAACTAAATTTGTTTCATTTGTTTTTTTCTATTTTAATATTTCAACTACATATTTCCTTTAAGAAAGGGGGGAAGAAAAATAAATTGGGACAGTATGAAACAACAGTGCTGGTGTCTACAAATACTGGTTTTGAAGGAAGTGGAGCCCTGTCCCAGTTCAGATTTTATTTTTGTTTTTATTGTGCCCACCATGGAACGTGTCCTCCTGAGAAGTTCTTGTCCAAGATCATAGATGGTAAAGAAAATCAGACGTATCTGTGTCCACTGGTTGATCATCTACATCGTCGTCCTCCACAGAAACTGGCTCATCCATATTAATGTTTTGTGTCCAGATATGATGAACCACAGCTTGGCTTATTGTAAATCTGCTTATTTTTGCATGCTACAAACTGGAGATGTGTACTGTAAAGCTAGCAAGTAAACACATGCCTTACATGTCTGTACCTTTTCATGTGGACCTTTAGATTGAAGCAGTGGGGATAAAGGGGGCCGTTTGTTCAGGGAAGGAGACAAACAGGTAAAGAGGGAAACCCCTAACTTCTCTCTGACAGTGTTAGTGACCTCACAGTGTGTTTATGATTTTAGTTTTGGCACTAATTATTGTTTTATAGTCTCATGTTATAACTGGGTTGAAACCGACCCCAACAACACAAAGATGAGAATTTTCACCAGAGCATTTTATCATTTTGTAAAATTCAATTTTTGTCTTTTGTTTTGTTTAAGCAGAGATTCCTGACAATGTGAAAAAGCCTCGAAGCAATAACCTAATTTAAAAGATGTTGCCACGACAGGTTAATGGAAGTAAATAGGGGGAAAAAAGAGAAACGCTAAACCAACAAGTAAATTAAACCGTGCAGTCTTACCTTCATGAGCGGCCGAGCTGTCTTCTCAAACAGGCCGGAGGGAAAAAGGTACGTGATGCTTCTCTGTGGGCGAAAGACAGAGAAACAAACAAACAAATAAATACATAAATAAATAAAAGGAGATGGCAGTTTGAGAGATGATGGCACATTATGACAACGCTGACATGTCCACACAACAGAGGTCACACCAACAAAGTGACAGAGTAAGAGGCGCAAGCTGCTTGCGGGTTCAAGGAAAGGCGAGCAAGATGTGTGTGTGTGTGTGTGTGTGTGTGTGTGTGTGTGTGTGTGTTTGTGTGTGTGGTTAGAGGAGAAAACAAGCATGAAAAGGCACAAGTTTAGGCTTTGTTGACAGCGAACAGAGGACACTGTGGATGTCTAACAGTTCACTCCGAGTTCATCCTCTGCTGTGTGTGTTATTAGCAGGGCTACAGATGGCATTGGAAATGTGTGTGTGAGGGAAGAAAGGCCCGCCGTCCTCATCAAGACAGCCTGCTCATCTCTCTCCCTCTTCATCCCACCATCTCTGCACTCTTCCTCCTGTCCTGCTCTCTCTGTCGGTTCAATTAGCGAGGCAGCAGGTGCTGCGGGGAGAGAGCAGGTTGCTGCCTTTAAGGTTGTCAAAACGACGGAAAAGTAGGAAGAAAAAAGGGGGCCGGTCGAGGGAAATGTCTGCGCTAAAGCTGTGAGAGGCAGGAAGAGGAAGACAAGTGAGGAGAAGTTAAAGGGTAGGAAAAAAAAATAAAAGGAGGAGGAAAAGGGAAAGACGAGGAACAGATGAAGACGCACCTGTGCGTCCCCAGAGAGTTGACAGAGATGTGGAAGAGCTCCCCGAGGGGGGAAAGACAGAGTGACAGAGGGGAAAAGACGACTTAGCAGAGCCACAGCGCACAAAGATTTTTTTTTACTTCACTGTGAAATAGGAAGCTGCAACAGGACAGACAGTAGTGGAGGAAAAGATCAAAGACGAAGATGAACAGAGTTATTTTAAACCTACAAAACCATGAGTGAAGATTCAAAACTTCACTGAATCTTCACGATTCAATATCTGTGAGATTTTTTAACATTTTGTAATATGTCAAGTATTGCAATAATATATACTGTATTTTTCAGACCATAAGGCGCACTGTCAATGAACGGGTCTGTTTTCCTACACAACACACACCAAATTACAAGGCGCATTAAGTGAAACAAAACAGTCAGATAAGTCAAACTTTAGTCAACCTTTTCTTCTTGCTTCTTCCACTTCCGTACCATTGATTCACTAATGCTGAATTCTCTCACAGCTGCTCTGTTCCCATGTTGTTGCAGTATATTAATGACTAACCTCATATTGTGGATGGATTATATCAGTTGTTCTCCTGACTGAAGTTTGGTCTGTTTACAGCATCCTGCCATGCGATTGCATTTGTCCCTGGAGGTCTCCCGTTAACTTTTATTGAGTGGAAAAAGGTTAGCATTCGTCCTCCAGCTTCACTGTTTATGTTATGCTAACATAGCTGCATCGCTAGCGATCACGTAGCACATTATATACCAGCTAGTCCAACTTCAGCAACCCTAAAAAGTCACTGCTGTTCAGTTTTCTGCCTTCATTTATGTTGGAAGTGATAGCAGAGCTTTAAGTTTGAATTCTTTCAGAAATCTCTCAGTCAGAACATGATATATCATGTTTAGGTGGAAGCTAGCGAGCTAATGTCCTGCTAACTTCTAACTCTGTTGAATTTCATAAATTCTGTTTTCATGGATGTTAAACTTAATTGTTACACCTGATAAAGCAGCAATGCTGATCATTTCATTAAAGATTAAAGAATTTAGACAGTTTTTAACTCTCAGTGATGTTTGTTTGACTTTAGGACCTGAAGACGACGGGTTTTTGACCCAGATTACTCTGAGAGGCTCCTGACTGCAATAGCCGTGATCTCGTCATCGTTTCATTTTACGCTATTGTTTGTTTCGTGGTGTCGCAAAATAAACTGTATACGGCAATATTTTTTCATGGTTTTGATGGTCACTGTAGTGGCTATATTAATTTCTTAAAGTTCTCTCTTTGCATTGTGGTTAGCAACAACGACGGTAACACCTTCGAGTGTCCGCTTGTTTATGTTCCACATAAACCTTTCACAATTAAGCTCAAGATCCTGTTCAGACTTTTCAAAATAAACTGCTCACGGGAAAGAGCAGATTATTTACGGATGAGAATTAAAAAAGAGCCGCCAGGTGGTAAAAAATAAAACTTAGACTCAAACGTTAGAACAGGCTTTTCCCCGCAGCACGCCATGTAATAAATACTCACAAAGAAAACGGCGGCCTTTACAACTTATGTCTAAAATTGTATCGTTTCATGCATCGGTTAAAACACTCGACTCCAGCTACATGACGCGCAGCTGGAAACACTTCCCGCAAGTCGAGCTGCCCGAGATTCACAGAATTTACAGAAAATATTACATTTTTGTGATTTATATCGTTATCAGACGATAGAATTCTTATATCGGGATATGAGATTTTGGTCATATTGCACAGCCCTAGCCGTAATGCTCCAACAATCCATCAAGCGGTGCAGCTTCGTAGCTTACCAAAGTCGTACTAAAACATTTTTGACTGATTTTTGAGCGCCGTGTACCACATAAAATCAGTTCGAGGTCAGTAAGCACAACCAGAATTCATACATAAGGCGCACCGGATTATAAAGCGTAACGTGCGGTGGAGATGAAGCCAGCCGCAGAGGTGTGCAGGTGGATAGCGAATGAGCAACAGCTTCTGACTTTCCAAAAAGTACTCATTTATTTACAATATCAAAAATAAAAGCGCTACCTCTACCACACATTACTAAAGAGCACACTAGTCTGCGTACACACGGGAGCATCCATTACAGGAGGAGTGCGAAGAAGAACAAAAAAGGGGGTGACACACCAGTCATGAGACAGGAGGCGCCGCCATGTGGTGATACACTGCATTACAATAGCAACTGTTACAAGCGCACTGTCGATTTTGAGAAAATTAAAGGATTTTAAGTGCGCCTTATAGCGCGGAAAATACGGTACTGCAAATAATGTTCTCAAAGTTAGACTTTGCCAGTATCTGTTTATCCAATAAGATAAAGTTGTCTCACTTCAGTTATTAAGATTGTCAAACAACTCAACACTCACTGAAACCTGCCGTAAAAGTTGCCATAACAGCCGACTCGACAACTGAATGGAGTCAAGTTGTCCGTTACATGAAACCAGTTTCTAAAAATACAGCAATTAATTGTGATAAAAAATACAAAGACAGAAATTAATATTTAACTATTATATTTGCACTCAGCAGCCTTCCAGTTCTGGGAGGGTCCTGTGCTGGATCCCCCCCCCCCATGCAGCCAGTTTAATATAAGTTTACTTCGACTAACACTATCGCAGCTGCATGAGATGCCACAAATGTACTCAAATGTATAATTTTTTCAAAAATCAATTTAGCTAAATAAGACAAATTCTTTCAAGTTGCAGCTTCTAAAGACTAAAGACCAGAGACTGTATATAAAAGATGGACTCCTACCGCCTATGGTAGACCCAATTTCCCTTTATTTTTTCAAATACAGTTTGTACAGTAGCAGATAATCTCTAACTGGTACATACTTTTATTTTTGTTTTTCAGTTCTTACCGGTAACAGCTTGTAGGTACACTACTGCCGCCTTTTGGTTGTAGCAGTGTGTTACATTTTAGCAGGAACCAGTTAAAAAAAAGCAAACTATGAGCTTCAAGATCAATTTAATGACTGAATATTCAAAAATTGTGATCATTGCTAACAAGAACACGACCAAAACTAAAGCATTAACTTCATGAATGGTTTTCTGAATGGCAGTTAAGCTTTATCTGTATTCATATGTATGAGTTATACAGTTGCTATGAAGGGAGAAGGTAGCCTAGTTGGAAATTTTAACATGATGTGGGGACTGACTCACTATCGGAAACAGCCTCAAGTGGCCATTAGAGGAACTGCAGTTAGTGACACTTTTTTCAGCCTCCTTATTACCTCTAAAATCAGAAATCATCTTTTATTCATCTTTGTTTAACCTGATAATGTTCTAAGCACTTTATAAACAGTTCCCTGAAAAATGTTTCATTTATTTATGATTAATCTATTAAATATTGTCTAACTGTTTCAGTGCTCGTTTACTTGCAGGTAAATTTGGCTCAAAAAGTCACCCGAGTCCCAGAACAAAGAAAAAAAAACCCAAATAAACAAAAAAAAAAAAAATCTGAGTTTAGTTTTCAGCAGTCAGAAGAGATTTTTTGGCCTTTCTGGGTCTGCGCTCTGTATTAATTCCTCCTCCTGGCTGCAAACATCCTTTTGATTTTCCCCGGGTCTTTATCACCGTCACACCTGAAGAGTCTGGACTCCAAACTGGAGCGCAGGGATTTCTCAGGTGCCCCACTATGCACCTCTGCAGTCCTCCCAAATTTTCCTCTTTCCCTCCACGCATCCAAGTCCGGGCTGCTGGCCGTCGCTTCGGCTTTCACAGCCTGGCGCAAACAGCTCACTTCATTATTTGTGAGGGGCACTGGGGACCGGACGAGGGACGGGTGGGAAATCGAGCTAAATGGTAAGAGCAGTGAGGGCTAATGTATTGCCAAAAAAAAGAAAAATCACAAACAAGCTTTGGATGCATTTAAGGGCGTTGCTAATAGCAATGATGCAGTGGATTAGACAGACGCGGCCCCACCTGCCTGCTGCACGTGGAGCCAAACGACGCTAATGATGCTGACAAAGAGGGGAAGCTTTAAACGCATCAAACTTCTGCCTGCAATGCCAGATAGGATGGTGTGAGGGGGAACGACATACCAAAGATGGCCTACGGTGGATTCAAAGCCACCGTGCTACAGTAGGAATCTACACTGCTGCACAAACTCAGCATTTCAGAGATTTACAGCTCACTGTTCACTGCTAAAGACTCCAAAATGCATTGTTTTTAATTTACAGAAATGTTCCTAAAAAGGAAATTCAAACAAACAGGAGTCAACCAGTTTGTTTGGGACTTTTTTTTAGTGGCGTATTAATCCACATTTAGTGGCTTTCTGAGCATTTGACTGAGATGTGATATAAATATGTCATCTGCTCAGTAGATCTGGAGGTTTTAATGCCTAGAGAGGTGAGAAAAAAATAAACGGACTCCACATTTTAATTTAATATCGTGAACATCAGCAAATACCATACGTACAGTCCCTTAAACTCAATCGCTTCATTAGCTGGGATCACATATCCAAATGGGATTAGACACTTTTTAGTGAACGCAAATGTCAGATGGACGGTAAGCAAAGATCTGGGTCTGAGACTGCAGGTTTGCCCAAAACGAGACGCTCATTTAAAACTGGGTGTAAAAAGGTTAAAAGACTGGCTGTTGAAGATGGCAGCAGGAAACACAGAGAGCACGAGGAGCCATCAGCAGGTGTGTAGTTCAGCAGTAAGTGTGGCTGCAGCGTGGTTGTTGTAATCTTAGATGTGAGGATTAGCCTTTTGTCTAGGGTAGGGCTGCCACGATTAGTCGACTAGTCACGATTACGTCGACTATCAAAATCGGAGACAACTAAATTAATAGTCGACGCGTCGTTTGAAGCTTTGTAAGACCCCAAAAGACGCAGGAATAAGTAGTAGGATTTAAAAGTGTAACAACGGACTGAAACAGAAGATGGCAGCACTGCATGTACAAGGATGCCAGCTGCCATTAAACCCCAAAGAAGAAGAAGCAGTGTCCGGTATCGTAGCTGTGTCCAAATTCAGGAACCGCATCCTCCTGTGCCCGTATTTGTAGGCCGATTACGTTACAGCGCCGCGACGAAGGCTGTCCAAATTCGAAGACTCCTCCAAATGCAGCCGAAAAATGCGCCCTCCTTTTCCTCAGATTTGAAGGATGGGCCGAGTGTATCCTTCGTGGTCCAGCCTATCCCAGAATTCATAGCGCGGCCCAGTTCAGTTTCCAACGATGGCAGCAGCTAGTTAGTTTTAATATTACTCTTATTATTCTTTCTGGGTCACAAAATAAGCGATTAACATATTTTCAGGCAAGAATGTAGCTGTGTAAACCTCAAATATCTGCTCAGTTTATCAAGACACCAAATATTTTCAAAAGCGCTCCGACGTTTTCGGATACGTCTGTTACCCACCAGCTCGATAGCTAGCCGGGGGCAAGGCTCACTAGAGCCGGTGAAAAACACCGGACTCCCGGCAAATCATTTTCAGATCCCCGCAGTCTTTCGCTACTCAGGTTAAACATGATATATGAGTCACTTAGATAACTTAAAAATGTTATTGTTTGGCTTTTTTCAGTTTTTTGTTTTGTTCCTGAGTAAATCTGTTTGGCTGAGATTAAAGTTATAGTTTTTACACAGCTGAATAAACGTCAAACAGACAACTGATTATCAGAAGTGTGAGATGCTCGAGAATATACTCCGGTGTCCTGTTATATTTTAGATAGCAAGAAGCAGACGGCTGAGTTTATTAAACTCCACCGAAACAATCTGCAAATTTCATTGAAAGTTTAATAAACTATCATCTTGTCTTTATTTTTAGTGAGCACATAACTTAAACACTTCAAGCTTTAAGCTAATGATACTTATATAAGAGCAGACACATGCTGATGCAATAAGCTGTACTTTTTACGTCCAATGGATGCATGATCTGATTAGTCGACTAATCGCAAAAATAATCTGTGACTAGCCGACTATCAAAATAATCGTTTGTGGCAGGCCTAGTCTAGGGTCACCTGCGTTTCCCAGTAGCAGGAGAAAAGACAAGAAAGGAGAGTGCTGGGGCAGATTTCAGATACTACACAAACATCCCTTTCACACTCCAAGCCACATGAGATCACTCACTCATGCCAGCTTTCTGTTGATTTGCAGTTATATTTCTATATTTTCTTTTCTAAAGTTCCAAAATTAAGTGACCCCTGCCCAGGCCAGCTCCTGAACCACATCAATTACACATACCTTTGCAAACACCACTGTCAAGTACTCAAGACTCACTAAAGAAGTGCTGAAAATCCCCAACTATGTCATGTACAGTTAAAAGCTTAAAATGGTGCAAAAAAATCACCGCCGTTCTCGTCTTTTTATCCTTTATTTCCCACATAAAGCATCCTGCCTATGTGTGATGCTTTAGAAGCTGCTGCCAGATTCTTTCTAATTAAAGCGAACTTACATCGATGTCCTCCTGGGTGAAGTTCTCGGGATCTTCTCCCATCATATTGGCCAGGTAGCGTTTCCCGATTTCGTACTCCTCCACCTGCTTTTGGATGTACTCCAGGGTGAACTTCTCCGGTCCAGCGGCCGCCAGGTTCTTCCTGCACAGGGCAGAGCTCACACATACCTGCCTGCTCAGCAGCACCTGGGGACGGAGGGAAAAGAGCCATTATTGTCAGACAAATATCCAGGGCAGCTCGATAACACAGCCGAATTACAGTTAAGAGCTCAGTAAACTGACATAAAGCACCTCAACGACTGTGGCACATTCATGAAACTACAGACGTGGCGACAGGTTCTTAATTTAAATATCCGTCAGCGGAGTTTTGGCTAACAAACCCTGCTAGAAGCCGCTAACTCAAGGACGAGGCTGTTTCGTCCTTTATTTAAACATATTCGCGTGCGTTAAAGGTGAAATAACGCGTTAAAATGTCACACGCTATGTTAATTCTACCTGTTGGCTTACCTGCGTGGCGACTGTGTTTATACTCGAGCTGCATGTCATACATTTCCCCAGAAACGAGCCCACGGTCCGCACACAGGACGCCGCCATCTTTGCTGACAGCGGTGACGTCGGAGGCGGAAGTTGTCTACGTCAGAAACACGTGCGGTAATCCGTAAAAATAAAATAAAATAAACTCTGTCCGCTTAATCAAACAACAACAACAACAACAACAACGTTATTAGAAGTGTAAATTCTAAAATCAGGAGTTTGTTTTAGTTTCTTTTCAGCCCTTTTCTGTTTAAAACAATGTCCTGATTTATGTATGTAGATGAATGTTGCTGGTGTCTTTACAGTTTGCAATTTTAGAAGAATTACACCTGAAAATATGGCATAATATACATCCCACCAAGAATTAGATGCTGATAGTATGAGTGAGGCATAAGTAATTTTAGCAAAGTGAATAAAGTGTAGACCTCAAAACTGTGCCAAACAAATAAGAAATTTAGGTCTGTAGTTTGTATTTCAGGCTGTAAAATTGACATTATTTGAAAATGATTATCAGCTGTTTGTGTATATATGTATAAAATAGGGTGGTCTTTATTCTTCAAGCTCGGGTCCTCTACTAGAGGCCTGGGAGCTTGAGGGTCCTGTGCTTTATCTTTGCCGTTCCTAAGACTGCGCTCTTCTGGACAGAGATCTCGGATGTTGTTCCTGGGATCTGCTGGAGCCACTCACCCAGTTTTGAGGTCACTGCACTGAGTGCTTCGATTACCCCTGGGACCACTGTAACTTCACCCTCAACATCTTCTCGAGCTCTTCTCTGAGCCCTTGTTATTTCCTCAGCTTCTCGTGTTCCTTCTTCCTGATGTTTCTGTCACTCGGTATAGCTACTATCTATCACTGTGGCCGTCTTCCTCTGCTGCTCCACCACTACTATGTCTGGTTAGTTAGCCATCATCAGTTTGTCTGTCTGTATCTGGAAGACCAGTAGGATCTTAGCATGGTCATTCTTCACCACCCTGGGGGGGCATATCACATTTCTAACTCTGGATTTTCATGCGATACTCAGGACAGACATTCCTCTCTGCTATCTGTCCAGCTCAATGTACTCTGATGTACTCGAGGATGTTTGTTGTCTCATCCTAGATAGTGGTTCTGACACTCACTAGCCCCTGGGCTTCTTCCTTCTGCTTAGTCTCATGTTACTGGAGCTTTTCCCCCTATCTATCTATCTTTTACAGAGTTTCTTGGAGATAAAGATATGGTAGATGAGGTTGTTGTTACCAGTAATGTTGATGAAACATTTTAATCATAGATTGGTAAACCTTTCCTTTGCAGTTCCTTAATTATTAATATGCAATGATGATCCCTCCCACTCTGTGTGCTTGATTCTCCTTCTTCCTTGTCTGTGTAGGAAACAGGTAGCGTATTAGAGGCGGGGCCTAAGAGAAAACAAATCTGTTACCATTGGGCTAATTGTTTAAAATGGGCCTGCAGCGTGTGGTTTTTTTTTCTTGTAAACATTTAGCTGCTCTATATTTCTGTGTAGCTTAAACTGCATTATCTGTGTGGTCTCCCAGTTTTGTCTTTAGTAGGATACAGCAAGGTAAAAATAGGTGTGCAGGTAATTACAAAGAAAATACAGCTCAAATACTAAGAAAACCTCCGGCATCAACTCAACCTTGTTGTTGTGACTCTTTTAGGTTGGTTCATTCAGTGTACTTCCTCAGAAAGTGTCCGACAATTCTTAGAAACACCTTTCCTATTACTTATTAGTTCGTGTTATGATTATCCAAAGTTTATGTTGGTAGCAGCTCAAGTTTAACTGTGCACACACAGAAAATATTTCCCTGTTTTATATATCATTTTCATGGCTGTACCCCAACTTTAAAGGGTTTATTTCATTAACACGAATATGAAAACAACATCTGGTAAGAAAAAAAGTGCATCTTCTTGCAAGTGTTTTTACAATTTACTCATTCACTAAGCTAGAACTTTACTGAAAAAAAAGTCCTGTGTTTGTGCCTGTGGTACCATGGTACCACGTTCTTACCGCACACTTTGTTTTTGTACCAGATAAATCTTGACATGTGTGTTGGTGAAGTAAAAGAAAAAGCTTTTCAAAGCATAACAAAAAGGAAAAGAAGAGCATGAACAGGATAATCCAAGCTGCATGACAGCAAAACCACAGAGCTGCATAATCTGCCTGAAATGACAAACGAGGCGAATTAAAAAAGGGAAAAAAAGATGAAGAAAGGGGAAAAAAGGGTACATTCCAGCGAGAGCAGAACATTTTAAAACAATTATAAAGGCCACTTCTACTAAACCACTTTCTAAACTCTCTCTTGAGCAGCGGTCCGTATCCTAAAAAGTCACACCTCACTGAAAGCTCGTGTTTTGCAGGGCAAGCATGCCAGCCACATGGTGCAGCTACAAGTCTGCAGGGATCTGGCACTCTGGAGCGATCCCTGCTGATTTATTTTTTTTTGGGGGGGGTGTTATAAATTAACAGCAGCACTGACACAACCTTAAACTCTAAACTTGTTTGTGCACAGGTTAAAAAATGACAAACTTGGCTCCACCTCTTTTAGCACGGTGAAAATTTGTTTCTATATTTAAACTTAATGGATCAGAGTTTGACGCCATGTATCTGCCACCGGTTTTGTTTTTTGGATCCAGGTCACACGTCTATCGGGCGACCTCCATGACCCCCGCAGAGCCAGTGGATGTTGCACGCGTTGCTCAACTCCATGTGAGCGCCATGTGCCAAATGGAGAGCTGTGCTGTCAGCGTCATGCAACAGGATTTAAAACGGCAGATCCGCACGAGTTATCAGAAATAACACTATAATGATTAAAAGAAAAAAGCTCAGCCAGAGCATGCCAAACGTGCTGGCAAGGCTACATGTAAAGCAGATTGTTTTGCATATGCGGTGCAGCCGGAGCAGAGATGGATTAACACAACATTATGTGACGCACAAGTTTGTAGATGAACTTCATACGTTGAGATGAAAACAAAGTTTCCCACAGGGAGTGCTGGCTGATGGTTTTCATGTGCATCACATACAGCAGCGTGTGGTGAACCACAGCTTTCTGCTGTGACTGCTGAGCAGCAGGTGGTCTTAGTTTTCGTTTGAAATGATTGCACTTTATATCTGGTCCTTTACTGAGTTTGCTCTTCTACAGTCCACCCCATGATTCAGTAGCTCGTAGAACCACCTTGAGCAGAAATAACGAGCAGTAATGGTTTTCTGTATGACTTTATCAGTCTCCCACATTGTTGCGGAGGAGTTTTGTCCCACTGTTCTTTACAACATTGTTTCAGTTCATTGAGGTTTATTCACAGCTCTCTTAAGGTCCCACCACAGCATTTCAGTCAGGTTGAGGTTTGGACTTCAACCGGACCTTTGCAAAGACTCCTGTTTAGGTCAAGCTTCATCTGTCAGACAGATGGCCTCACATTGACTCTACAATACTTTGGTATATGAAAGAGTTCATGCTCAACTCAATGACTGCAAGGTATCCAGGTCCTGTGGCTGCAAAACAAGTCTTGTAGTTTATTCAGATGCAACTTTGCAAAACTAAGATGTGTTGCCATGTTCTACAACGATGGGGACTTTGATGGTTTGGCCATGTGTGCCGAATGAACAGAAACCGGATACTGTCAAAGCTCCTGTGGCGCGAAAGACCAGCTCAATGAAAGGTGCAACGCTCCCTGAAAAAAGTGGAGAAACCACATCGACGAAAATATGGAGAAAATTTGATTGACCATCGAGGAAGCCTGCACCATAACCACTGATTACAAATAGAAGCAAATCACAAAGAAGTCCTGAACCCATTGTGACCACAGCAGCTTATTTACTCCAAGGACACACTCCTGTTCCTACTGCCAACTGATGGAAAAAAGCAGAAGAAGAGAGAAGCTGTTAAGTCAAACTTATTCAGTCTTTTTCCAATTGTACTGTCATGAATTTCGACTTTTAACGTGCTAACTGAGGCCTGTAGAGTCGCACATGTAGCTCTTGGGTATCTTCTCAGTTTCTCTGAGCATTGCACAATCTGACCTTGGAGTGAATTTGCTGGGATGCCCACATCTGGGAAGATTGGCAACTGACTTGAATTTTTTCCATAGGTGAATAAATCTTTCTCACTTCAGAATGATGGACTTTAAATTTTGTGGAAATGTCCAGTTGCTTTTCTAACGTCATTGCTGATATCTTTCCTCCTTGGTATTAACTGACACCTGAATGCTCCAAACCACAAACTTCCCAAACCTCCGCTATTAAAGAGGTGCCCACACTTGACGATCAATTAATCAAGTGTATTTGATTAGTTGGTTGCTACTTACCCTCTTTGTCCCTGGTGGAAGCGGTGAGGGTGGACTGCATCAGTCCTGTGAAAAGCCTTTTTTTCACATGACTGTATGTGCAAATACTTACTCTCAATTTCTGTAACCATGAGACTTTATATTTTAAAAAAAACAAAAAACTGGCTTCTGTTTTTGACTTCTTCTCATCCTATATCAGTGCTGATGTAGGGTTACTGTCTGAGTGGCAACACCTATAGGAGAATACTGCAGTGGATACCCGCACCTTAATGGTGAACATAAATAGAAGTGGCTGTATGATGACGTTACCAGCAGATATACTGGAGTCTTCATGCGGCACAGCAAGCAATCTCAGTGCCATTCCATATCATACCTCGTATCATGCCTCTGCAGACTGCTTTGCAACCCACCTCCACCTAGCTCCTCTGCATGCCATTTCTAACTTAATCAGTCAGATATCTGTTATCCATTGATGCCCGTATCCTTTATTCCTTGTTGTATTTTCAAATCTGAAATGCAACATTTCTAATTAAGCTTTACTTTATTGTAGCCAGATAATCCCATTTGTTGTTGTCCGAAGAAAATCCCAAAGAGGAAGAGTTCGGGCAAGACAATAGAAGCCGGTGTCTCGGTTCATGTAAACACTTTGGAGGTAGCACTACAGTACAAAAACTTACCCCAGGTGCTGGTCACAACTTCATGTATGAAAACCCTTCATTATCCTACATATTTATCATCAAAAATGAGACAAAATGCTTCCTTTTGTAATCACACCTGCAGTAGTTTTGGTCCTGTCTCCTCTGTGTGTTTGT